ATCCAATACTAAGTTCTAAATATCTCTGGAGTATATCATTTCTCTCAGTCTCCATCACAACCTGCTCCCCAAGCTGACACCCCATGTCCTGATCACTGCAGAAGCCTCCTGACTGCCCTTGCCCATGCTAGTTCCCCCAGACTCCTACAGAATTCAGTTTCTAAATCTCAAACCTGCTTATGTCATTGTCCTATTTAATACGTTAAAGATGTTCCATTGTGCAGAGGATAAAGGTAAATTTCTCGTGGTCAACAGGCCCTTCATAGTCTGACTCTGATGGTTTATTTGATATGTCAACTTAACAGGGCCATCAGGTGCCCAGACATTTGGCCAAACATTATTCTAGGTGTGCCTGTGAGGGTGTTTCTGGGTGAGACCAACATTTGAATCAGTAACTAAGGCAGGTTGCCCTTTCTGATGTTGCTAGGTCTCATCCAATCAACTGAAGACCTGAATAGAAGAAAGACTGAGTAAGAGGGAAATCCTCCTGCCCAATTGTCTGAGCTGAGACCCTGGTCTTTCCTGCTTTCAGACTCAAATGGAAAATAGACTTACATGACTGTTCTAGACAGTTTATTTTCTCCATATTAATCCCCAGTGAGGCTGTATTGCAGGCTGATATTCTTTTTTATAAAGCCTTTTCTCATTCCTTCCACCTGTAAACATCCAGCCCATTTTTCAAGGTCTAACTAACTTAAGTCATATCCCCTCTAAAGAATCTTGTGTGACCTCTCCAATATCTAGTGTCACGCACTGTCCTGATTTGCCTTGGATTTCCTAGGATATGTGACTTTCAGTACTAAATCTGGGATTATCCTAGGCAAACTGAGATGGTTAGACAGCCTACCAACACCTCAATGTCTCTTCCTTGTTAGAACAAAAAGTCCTGTGAAATTATCAGTAGCCACTATTTCTGCACTTATGATGTCCTTTCTCTGCAGTAAGACTTAGGCTCCTATTGGACAGAGACCTTTTTGATTGCCACTTCATACATAGTATAATGCTATACCTATGTTAATGCCTACCCAGTGAATAAAGTGGTTTAGTTTTAAGTTGGCACTCATATGTAAAATCTTGTCCTTATGATTAATTTATTTGTCTTTATTTATTTCCAGCCCAGATGACTTACTCAATGCCTTGAATGAGGGTATCAGTCGTGCTGATGTCATCATCACATCAGGGGGTGTATCCATGGGGGAAAAGGTATGAAAAAATGGGATTCATGAAAATTTATCTGCTGTAATGTCCTTGCATATGGTTTATTAACTAAAGTCTGGTACATATCTGTTACCCATAACCAGACCTGCACAAATCTGGAAATCCCTAGGGCTTCAGAAATTTCTGGGCATTCTAAAAGGGATGCAGTATGGGTAGATCAGGAGCAACTTGGAGAATCCCACAGCATGCAAAATGGTTCCAATGTTCCCCTGTAGATTTCTGTTTCTTTGCTTGCTCAACTTTGCTGTAACATTAGGACTTCCTTTATACATGATATTTAACCCCAAGATAAAGCTCCAAGATGCTGTCCTCCCCTGCCACATATTCCAAACCTGATAACCCTTAGCTTCCCAGAGGGAAGAAAGAATTAGGCATTCCATTGCCCCTTTTGACAAATAATAAGGCTCATAATCATAATAAATGAAGGAAATAAAATGCAAACATATATATATATATACAAGCATATATAGGATTTTATAAGACTAAGTATATTTGCATAAAATATATGCTTAGTCTTTTAAAAATCCTAATTCCAGGGGCGCCTGGGTGGCGCAGTCGGTTAAGCGTCCGACTTCAGCCAGGTCACGATCTCGCGGTCCGTGAGTTTGAGCCCCGCGTCGGGCTCTGGGCTGACGGCTCAGAGCCTGGAGCCTGTTTCCGATTCTGTGTCTCCCTCTCTCTCTGCCCCTCCCCCGTTCATGCTCTGTCTCTCTCTGTCCCAAAAATAAATAAACGTTGAAAAAAAAAAATCCTAATTCCAGTGTCCCAGTATCATTAAATTTATATATCTTAATGAAATGTGTTGGTTCATGATGATTATTGGGACTACTGAATAATGTTATAAAAGCAAAATATACTTTACTACAGTAACCAACCTGATGTTTTGGCTCAAAAATATTTCAGAACACAAAATGTTTTTACTGACCTATAATCCCTTTCCATCTTTTATTTTTTCATATTAATGACTAAACTGAAAAATTATAAGAATATTTTCAGAATGGCAGTTTTTACTAAAATTCAGATTTTCCAAGAGCATAATTAATTTTTGGCTAGATCTTATATATATGATTGTTCTTGGTCTCTGCCCTCTCTAGCTATAAAACTGCCTAAATGTATAACCTTACTCTTTAGCAGAATTCAGTTGTGTGAATAGAGAATGTCTACCTTTCATTCACAACTAGTTTTAGAGTGTTTACAAACAGCCCTTAAGTGGCCAAAAACCATAGAAGAAAAATAGAGGATCTCAGTCTAAGACAACCATCTCAGATTACATCCAAGAATGAAAGTGTTGAAGTGTGGGTAGGTATTCTCCTTATAGCAGACAGATGGCTAGGTTAGTCTTAGCATCTCACAGAAGTCCTTAGCCCCAGGTGGAGCAAATTGCTGCAGACCTCTTTTGAGATCACAAAGGCCAGGGCTGAAGTCTGCATTGTCATAGAGCTATAAGAAATAATTTTCAGCCTGTTTTCATTACCATCAAACTCCCTGTGGTAACACAAGAGCAAACCCTGAAGTTAAGAGTACTTAATGTTAGGGCACCTGGGTGTCTCAGTCGGTTAAGTCTCCAACTTTGGCAGGTCATGGTCTCATGGTTTGTGAGGTAGAGCCCCGCATCGTGCTCTGTGCTGACAGCTCAGAGCTTGGAGCCTACTTTGCATTCTGTGTCCCTCTCTCTCTTTCTGCCCCAGCCCTGCTTGTGCTCTCTCTTTTTCTTTCAAAAATGAATAAACATTAAAAACAAAAATTTTTTAAAAGAGTACTTAATGTTAAATTTGTTTCCAGGGAGTATTTCATGTATCATTTATCTTGGTTGCAAATGAGCTTAATTATAGAACAATACCTGTTTGACAAACCTGAAGTTTGTCTTCTCCAATATTTCTGAAAGCAACTAGCTTATAACATACATAGGTTTGGCAATTGTGACTCAACTCTGGTAAGGACAGAACACTTCTCAACCTTAACCTTCTTTATTACTGCTCACAAATATGTGATTTTTCCTAGGGACTTAAAAATAAAGAAGCAATATAGTAAAGCACATTGGTTTTATTTATTTTACTATCTGTATGGTAAAATACTTACACTAAACCTTTAGTTTACTAGGGAGGAGATTTTAGGAACTAGGCATCCCGTAGTATTCCATGGGAGCTAATAACTGTCCTTTCTTCCTCCTTGAGTGAGAATGAGACAAAAAAGGAACTGGGAAGAAAGACATAAAGCCTAAGTGCTGCAGACTCCTGCCAACCTTCTAGTTGCCAAAAAAGAATTTCAGTTGTACTCAGTGTCAGGAGGAAAGAAAAGCATAAGAAACAGAACATCTGCTTCAGCCCAAGGGCTAAGCCTGAAAACCAGTCGCTGAAAAGGCAGGGAGGTCAAGGAAAGATCCAAAAAGCATTATGTAACAAGCATGAATCTTGTGTGCAGAAACTCAGGTATGCAAGAAATTTATTTACTTGATTCAACTTAAATCCTACTATGAGCACCTATGCTACAGAAGAGGCAAGAAATTTTATGAAGCCATTATGGAACTCACCCACTCCAAGGATTATGCCAAGAAACCGTAAAGGGCTTAAGAGGCCAACAGCAGATCAGGAAGACACATGTGGTCACCAGTCTGCACCGGATACACCTAGAGCATCTCTCTAGTGCCATTAGGTCTCAGTTATTTGCTCCTTTGGGACTTGCTAGACACACTGGGATCATGGGGAAGCTGGGAGCCTTAGGGCAAGGGGAAGGAGCTCCTAATGCTTGTGAGACCCACAGACCTCAATCCTCTTCTCAGCCAAGAAAAAGTGGCTCTTCCACAGTTGCTTCCCTCAAAATCTTTTCCTATTTCCACCTCCCTCTGCCCCCAAGTGTTTACTTTTGTAAAATACTGACAATTTCAAGTACATAGTATCTGCTTTTTGCTATGAAAACTAAAGAATTTATATGCATTACTATGCAGAGTACTATACAGTCAGTTAAGCCTCCAACTCTTGGTTTTGGCTCACGTCATGATCTCACAGTTCGTGAGATTGAGCCTGCGTCAGACTCCACACTGTCAGCACAGAGCCTGCTTGGGATTCTCTTTCCCTCACTTTCTGCCTCTCCCCCATACTTGCTGTCTCTTTCTCTCTCTCTCAAAATAAATTAATAAACATTTTTAAAAGAATGATTACATCACTATAAATTTTTCACAACCTACAGGATTGTAAAATAGCTCAAAGACAATGAAAGGCACAGATAACCAAGGAGGATACACTGCACTGGACACCCAGTAATTTTTTTTTTTTTTTTTTTTTTTTTTTTGTCTATTTGAAAGTCTCTTAATTTTTTCCTGACAGTGTCTCCCTCCTATCTCATATGATCAAAATAATCATAAAGATCATTATTGATCACCAAAAAAGGCTGGTCTCAAAGGCTTGCCCTGATTATTTAACAGCAAAAGTGTTCATTAACCATATAGGCCTTCTTGACTTTGTTTTGCAAATCTAGAGCCATACAGCAATAGACTATTAAAATTAATCAGTATTCCAAACAAATAAATACAATAAAATTTCACTTATTGTTTATTTCAGTCCTGTGTCATTCTTGTTCTGCTATATTTGGGTTAGCAGTCCGCTTTCATGAAGCCATCTGCTTCTATTCTAAAGAGTCCTGGGACTCCTGACAGAGTCTACTGGTACTATATAAAAGTTATCTCAGCTGTATCACCTCAGGTGCCTGTACCCAAGAGACTATTCTTTGAAGTGTCAGAAGTTCAAATTGAAGTGTCGGAAGGTCCTTTTCCCTAGTGCTCTGAATCTGTCTTTGTTGCAGGTACAAAAAAAGCAGAGCCTTTAAGCAAGCATTAGAGTAAAACAGAAACTTTCCAAAGATGACAGACACTGTATGGCTGTACTTAATGTGTTGCTGTAACTAATAATTTCAGAATAGAAGATAAGTAAAATTCTCCATTGAGATACAGTATGTAACTATTTCATAAAGGTTTTTATGTGTTCCCGCTGAGAGTGCAAACATATATGGGCAGTAAGGCATTGCCAAATCTCTACACAATTTCTAAACTATTTATATGAACTTCCACATATATGGATCTAACCGTGGGCACACTGAGCATGTCTTCTCAGATATGACAGCAACTCCCCACCCATGAACCTCTTACAATGGTAACATATCGAAGAAACCTAAATCTTTCTAACATATCTTTTTATAAGATGAAAGAAGAAATCTTTGTGATTTTCTAGGGACCCTCTAGGAAATTTCAAAGACAGTTTTAGATGTAAAAGATATTCTGAAATTTTTACCTTTTACTAAATTTAGATCTGATCTTTAGAAGGCAAAATCAAAAGAGCTGTCAAAAAAGAATTGAGTCCTCAATTAAGATAGGATCATGAGGGACGCCTGGGTGGCTCAGTTGATTAAGTGTCCAACTTTGGCTCAGGTCATAATCTCACGGTTCGTGAGTTCAAGCCCTGTGGCAGGGTCTATGCTGACAGCTCAAAGCCTTGAGCCTGCTTTGGATTCTGTGTCTCTCTGCTCCACACTTCCAAATCACTCTCTGTCTCTATCTCTCTCTCAAAAATAAATAAACATTAAAAAAAAACTTTTAAGATAGGATCATGAATACCTGAGAAACAATACTAGTTGCCTAATTTTTCAAAGCAACAATAAAATATTTGGAAATAAGCATAGAAAGTAGCATGATCGTAAAAAATCTTAGCTCATTCATAAATGAGAAAACTTCATTTTTTATTTTTTATTTCTTTTAAAAAAAGGCAAAATAAACATAAAGCACAAAAGGAAGATTACACAAAAAGAATAACCTTTAGTTTCATGGGGAAAACATTAATCACTAAACTAAAGAAATAAGCTCATCAAATTTGAATGAACTTACTAAAATGTTAAAATAGTTCTCAGCTTCATTTCAGACACAGGTATTATAAACCAAGGCAAATAAAAGTGTCTTTCAAAGTTTTGCCCTTTATTATGTTATTTTATATTTTGCA